CACACACACACACACACACACACACACACACAAACATCTTTGCAGCATGAGAACAGGCTTGGGAGACACCTGCCTCTCGGTCCTCTCTGATATCCCTTCCCTCTGCCTCTCTGTTCATATCCTGATGTGGTGAAGGGTAGGAGTATGAATAATACATTTGGAGTGTAGGACTGCAGAGTAGAAGGATTATCTCCAATGTGCAGGAAGAGCTAAGGCGTGCACGCTGAGCCGCAGCACACCAGCTCGTGTAAAGCACTAAGATGGGAGAGGACTCTGTTGTAGAGGGGCGGGAAAGACTGCAGGAAAAAAAATGCAGGTTTGTCTCATCTGGTTGTTTCTAACACTGTCCTGTTAACTCTTTCGCAGGGGAATGCAACGCTGCATCTCTATCCTCACTTTCGACCGCTCCTGGAGTTCAAAGGTAAGACTTTACTTCTTCAACTCTTTACTACACTACATTTTCATGCTCTTTCAGTGAATGTGCAGATAGTTCCTTCTGTGAAACATTAGATTTGATATATATTCCACGTGCGGGTCAACAGTAAAAACTTGGGGCTTTGCATCTCTATGCCTTTGATCATGATATTTCTATGCTCATTGATGAAAATCATCACCAATCAGTCTCTACAATTAGCAAATTATTGGAATCGAGAGTTAAAACTGCAGGAGATGAATGTAATCACAAACTGCAGAAAGGTAGCTGTACCTTTGAGGTTTAAGATAAGGCTCTGCTGGTGGCTAATGAATATTTACCTCTGGATGCTGCTGATCAAAGTCGGCTTTAAAGACGCGTTGTGATCTGTAACATCACAAGAATGTCTGCCTGTTTAATGCTCGGTTACTCGTTATTAATCCTTATCACAGGCTTCTGTGATTAAAGGTTGGGTTTAGGTCCTTCACCTTGATGACTCAATAGTGAGTCATAAACTTGATGATAAATCGGCCCAGACTCCTGTTTTCTTCTTCTCACACACGTGCAGCGCTCTGATATTGTTTTAAGACAGTTTTGCTCAGATCTGTGCGTCAGCAGCGCTCTGGATACGCCACCGGACGGCCGCTGTGATCGTGGTGATCGTCTACAGAGTCTGGGTGTTGCCTGCTGGCTGAGTGGGGGTGTGCAGTGGAGGGTGGGGGAGTGTGTTTGAGTGTTGACAGGCAGTGTGTAGAGAGTGAGGGTTCACTGGGTGCGGACCAGAGCGAACACTGTATGGCGTATGAGTCACACGCCCCATCGGCAGCAGCGCAGTTTAGTCAGAAGGAGCTGCTGAGAAATGTCACAGCTATTAGAGACGGCACAGCCCAGACTCCAGCAGCAACAGCTTCGCTCCGCAGGCCCGAGCCTCGCAACAATCTGCTGCTGGAATACAAGCAGGATTTCTTTTTTTCAATTCATTTCAACTTTATCGTCATCGTCGCCGCCGCGTGTGGAAACCAGCTGTATGGGACATTTATTTACCTGTCACAGCAGCCGAGGATGACTCATCAGAAAAGCTCCATACATCCATACATGTGGGAGCAGCTGCTGGCTGCACAGTTTGGTCTCCTTTGGGATGTGCTTCTTAATTTGGCTTCATACTTAGATCTTTATGTGTCTGTCTTATCAACCTGTTGTCATGGGTTTAGCCTGTATGCTTTGTGGGAACTGACTGCTTTTGCTGCACATTAAAAAATAATCATATCCGCTGGTTAATCAAGGTCTTTGGCTTCTCAGATTCCTGTAGAAGTATTTGCACCATGTCTGCTTTCACCTGTTCAGCTCAACAATTTCTTTTTTAGTCTTGGTCGATGCAGCGTTATTGCAGCCTTTGCCCTTTTCCTTGTGCACATGATCTCCTGCACGGTCTTCTCAGTTACAGTCAGTTCAGGAACTTAGCGCACATTGGCGAGTATAACTCTCATTTTCAGCTGGCAGAACTTTTGTCCTTTCCCGCACGGATCGATGTGTCTGTCCCCGTTTGTGCCTGTTTATTTAGGATTATATGGAATAGCTGAAGTGCGGTCTAGCAGCGCTCTAAATTAAAGCTACTTTATGAAATCCGCACACACCTAAACACAAACATACATATTTTTAATGTTTCATTTGCACAGCAGGGATATCTCGGTACTCAGAGACTTTTCTTAGGCGTGTGATAAGAGGCAGATCTATTGATATTGTGGCCATGCTGATGTGGGAGAAACATGAGGGAATGCTAATGTGCCAGAGGAGCAGTGGCTCTGCTCACTGCAGCACAAGGATGCGATTTGTGCTGGCTGTTGACACCTGCCTCTTTGCATGAAACGGCCTCAGTGTCATCCCAGGCCTCCCTGGTGTGTGTGTGAGTGTGGGTCGGCGTGGGAGGGGTTATTTTGTCACTAGTAGGGATGCATCTCAATAGTGATCCTGTTCTATTTAAGGGGAGGGGGGTGTTCTTATGTGTAATGGTTGTGGTGGATTATCGTAACCTCTCAGTGCGTTGCCTCACAGTCGTTCTTCACTGGCTAGCTTTATGTCCCACGCCCCACACTAAAGCTGCCAGTTGAAGAGCTGTTGTGTGTAACCATGACAACAAAGCTCTCCACAGAGGGCAGTGAGGAAACAGAGGCCTCGTTAATATTTTCATGATTAGAAAAACAGAAATAAAGTTTCATGTGCGAGGGTGCGGCTGCTGCATCATCGTCACAGGAGGTGAACGTATCTTTTCACAGGTGCACAGCTGTGTCTGTGAAGAATACGATCGTTTTGGAGTTAAATTATAGCTGCTGTCCTGAAAATGCAAAGCTCTTAGCATAAAAGTTGCCTTGAGATCTTGTTGCTGATCTCCCTCAGGCTTCCAAGTATTGACCGCACTGCGGCTTCCAGTAGCACACAATATTATAGCCATTAGAGGCGACATTTTCCTGCATGGACTGAACTCGTTACCTTAGTTACTGTGTCTTTATCTTTTTGCACATGCACGCCATCTCTATTTTCCAGGTGTTACTGACTACCTATCTGCTGAGATCTCCACCTCCAAGCAGAAGAAATTCAGCCTGGTGACTTTCGTGGACACTCCGGGTTTGGTGGACGGGGACATGATCTACCCTTTTGATGTGAATAGCGCCATCACTTGGTTGGGTGTGTCCTTTAGCTTAAACTTGTCTCTTCAGTGGTGATCTGTCTTCTTCTTCTCCTCCTTTGTGTCTACTGTACAGCTGATGTACAGCTGCAGGAATGTAATAAATGCTTTTTTTTCTCTGAGCAGGAGAACAGGCAGACCTGATATTTGTGTTCTTTGACCCGATGGGCCAAGCGCTTTGCAAACGCACGCTCAACATCGTGGAGAAGCTGAGCCAAAAATGCGCAGACAAGCTGTTGTTCTACCTCAGCAAGGCAGATGAAGCCGGAAAGGAGACAGACAGACAGGTCAGTTTACCTGATTTGTATAATTTATTTTTGTTTCAAAGAAAGTTGAACCTGTGAGATGAACTTTTTTTTTCTCATCAGAGAGTGATGATGCAGATAGTCCAAGAACTGTGCCGCCGTCCAGGTCTTAACAAATGTGGCTTTGAGATGCCAACAATATACATCCCGAACCCACAGAAGGTAAAATGATCTGTGTTGGTTACTTTAAACTGCTGTGTTTGTATAAAAATGAGTTCTGGTTGTGCAAATATTATAAACCACGGCAGTGCAGTTATCGCTGCACCATCTTATGATCTACAACCACGAAGCGTGCGTGGTAGATTTGTGCATCCCTCAAGACCTCCGCTTCATTTCTGCTGAGCGAGTGCAGCTTCACTTTCTGCCAAGTCCACAAGGCTGTCAGTCAGAATGCCCTCAGGATTTGTCATGGAACTTTCCAGACCATCCTTTATTGAGATGTGCAGAGTGGTTTTCATGTTCAGTCCAAATCTGACGTGTTTACGAGCAGTTTGTCTCATGTAGCCGAGCAGGTGTGTGAACCAGATCGATGGCGTTTGTCAGACCATCGAGAAGACCATTAACCAGGCTGTTCAGAAGACACTGAATCAGCTGGAGAAAGATTCTGACCTTATTTGTTCCACTATCAGCAGCAGACTAGAGCAGGACAGGTATGACCTCTTGCAGCCTTGATAAAACATATTATGTGTACACTGAGCAGATAAGCATCACCAGATACTATCAGTTGTGGAAAATGCATGATAACACATTATTGTTATGGTTGTGTACACAGGGCTGATGTGGCTTGCAACAAAAACATCCGTCTTCATTCATTCCTGTGCGGTGCTTTGGGTGTTTTCCTGCCTTTACTCTTCATCCTCAGTTTTATTGTGAGCACCTTATCCAAAGAGCAGCTGGAGGAGCTGTTGGGTGAAGGTGCAACTCGAACCATAACTATCTTCACAGTAAGTGCTCTGAATGAATATCAGTTTCATAATATTTCATTAATTACCTAATTAGTGACTTAACATAGTGTCCTGAGCTCTCTGACTGTCTATTACTGTGTGTCTGAAAGGGAATAGTGATGTATTTATGGGACTGGATACCTGAAGATGGGCAAGTAGTCTTTGTCATCATTTTTGGGGCTTTTTGCTACCTCCTGCTTTTCCTGGCAAAGTATTTTGCAGGGTAAGTGTGGCAAAATGCAATTTAACTTGTAGAGATTAATTAAACAGATCGATTTTGTTCATATTGACATGACAGCATCACACAGTTGCTGCAGATTCGTCAGCTGCACGTTAATGATGCAAATCTCCCGTTCCGCCACATCCCAAACAGATAGTGATCTGATCAGTAGTGATCATTTTCACACCCTGAATTGCAGCGTCAGTTTTTGGTTCTTAGCCAACAAAAATGGTACCTGGTGTGGTCTTCTGCTCCTGTAATGTTAAAAGCAGATGGGTTAGAGAGCATTTAGAGATGCTCTTTTGCTCACCTTGGTTGTAATGACTGGTCATTTGAGTCACTGTTACCTTCCTTTCTGGTCCTTCTCGTCTGATTTATGGCATCAACGAGGCGTATTCACCCACTGGATATTTCCCCCTTTTCTGACCATTCTCTGTAAACCTTAGATATGGTTTTGTGGGAAAATCCCAGTAGATTAGCAGTTTGAAATATTCAGACCAGCCTGACTGGCACCAACCACAGTTCATGTGTCCGTTCAATGTCACCTGATCAAGCAGTAAACTAAACAAGGACTGGTTCATTCAAATTTTCAATTTCTTTGTAGTTTTCTGCAAACGGTTTTTCTATTTTTCTGTCCTTTTGAATGGTCTTGATGGTTGAATAAGATCATTATAAGATCGCAAGGGCCTTATGTCGTATCAAGACATTAAAATGACTCCTTTAACCCTTTAAAGAACCAGGCCTGAGAACCAGCCTGTATGATACGCTCAAACATATAAATCACATTTCTTCCCCCTTCTGATGCTTGGTTTGAACTTTTTCATTTTAATATCAACTTGACCTTGTCTACATGCCTACATGCATTAAGTTCCTGCCATTTAACTGGCTGGTTAGTTTTGTGTAATGAGCAGTTGAACAGGTGTAGACTGTACATGCAATTACAAACATGAGTATTTTAATGCTGTCATGTTCTTCATTCTCAGCCGGAGGAATAAGACTCTGACGAAGAAGGAGAAGAGGACGATGGCAGAGTACAATGATTACATCCAAGATATCGTCAAGACTAAGAAGGTTAGATGTACATTTTGTGTCCGTATGCTCTCTTAACTAAGTTGTTTTTTCATTTGGATTGTGCAAATCTAAATGCCACAGTAATTAAGTATTTTATTGATTTGTTATTGGTATAAAGGAAATTACTGCCAACTCTGCTGCTTCCCTTCATTTTATGGAGCTTTTTAGTGTTGATCAGGTTTTTTTTTAAGTGAGCTGAGTGCTAACTAAAAACAAGAATGCTTCATAAGGTAGTAAACTTTATGTCAGTGTTGTGTTTTCAGCTAGTTTAGCTTCCCTCGCTCGGCCCAAAAAGAAAAGAAAATCCGTTCATGCGTGTTGTCAATTTATCAAACATCAGGATTGTGAATCTCACACAGGTAACTTTTCTCCACAGAGTAAATTGTATGAATGGTACCTCCAGCAGTGTGCAGCAGAATATGACCTCTGACCCTGGGTAAGCTGAAGACACTTTGCACCAGTACCTGTAAGCTCGCAGGTGTAAGCTCTAAATCAGCCGAGATCACTGCCAGCAATTATCATCTCAGCAGCTGATTTGAAAAGTGCCTTTATTACTAATTATTGGAGAAGCTATGATTGTAGTCATTTAATGAAAGCCAAACTGTGACTGGATTTTTTTTTTTATAGTCTTTGGGTAATTATTGCAAGAAAAATATGAAATGTTTACAAATTACAAATTTTGAACTTGGGGCTGCCTTTACCAGCAAACACATTTTCATGGTGTCCTCTATAAAGGTAGTTCTCATTGTTGTCATGTGATCAGTCTTTATATCGCACTGCACTGTCCTGAGTGCAGTGTTACCAGAATGTGTTTTAAGCAATAGCTACAATAACCAATGCTGTGATTAAAGCCTGGGCATTATAGTTGGACATCTGATAAAAACATGTTTATTGCGTTGAATCCTTCTCTTGCCTCCAAAGAGCCAATCACTTATTTTTATATATAAATCGTTGTCGTGTAATCATTGTTAGATGTTCCACAGACTTTCAGTACAGCACAGTACGGTGGCCTAGAGGTGCCACACACAGCAGCAAAAAGAAACATTTGACGGAAAAGTTGGTGACAACATTTCTTGTTGGTGACCGGATAAAATCCAAGTTCCTGGGAACAGGTTGAAGTCAGTTTTTCTATTTCTGTACTACTCTCAGCAGTTTTCTTGGGCAATTTGATGTGATTATATTTACCTACAAATACTTGGCGTTAGATGCACTAAAATAAGGTGCTAATAATTAAAATTCATTATACAGTAAATAGTTTTTAAGTAGTATTTAAGTAATTTTAAATACTTAAGTCTGACTTGACTCTATCATTATACGAGCATGTAGAAACACAATATTCCCATTGTTCAAACCAACAGAGGATATTGTATATTTTGGCCTTGTTGTCACCATTGTAATGATTTACATGATCCAGTCAAAAGGCTGGATTGGCCCTTTGTTCCCGCCTTACGTTCCTGTCCGCTCTCTACTCTTCTATCAAATAGAGGCTATAAAAATGCCACCTAGAAATCCTTGCTGAGGATCTGCTTTAGCTGCGAATGGTCCCATGGTGGGGATTGTAGCTCTCAGCATAACACAACCTCATCTCTTTGACCATATTTCTTTTAAGTGGGCCTCAGGGCTTTCAAGTAAGGTTTTTATATAAGAGTAGCATAGAAGCTGGAAATCCCTCCCGACTGTAGCCAGCGAGCTTGATCCTGTCCAGTCACAATAAAAAATGTTGCCCCAATGCTTCTGAGAAAAGTGAGTTTAATTTTTTTTTTTGTAATGTTTTTTGTTTGTTTGTTTGAAGTTTCATTTAGTTTTTGTTGTAGTTTTTGTTGTGTTTTGCACCTCAGGGACACCATAGTACAGTGCGCTGTCAGGTACCTCTTACTTGTGTTAATAAGCACTGAACCCTGCCGGTCCGTTATTGATAGATTTAACTAGTGACACCATATACTGCCTTCACCACACTGTTTGTAGATGTATTTATTAGTGTTGACAGATGTCAACATGTGAGGTGCTTTTTCCTAGAGATGCACTGATCCAATGCTCTACGTTACCATTAGAGCTGCTTTTGAGGTTTTCTTTTTTTTAACTGCAGTGACTGATATAAATAAACCTCTAACATTAGCGAGCAAGTTAATCGGTCACATGAAGATAGTTATCAGCTCGATAAGTTAACTCACAATTTTTCTACATGGCTACAAATGTGTTTACATGAACTGCATCTGATCAATCTGTAACAGCAGATCTGTCCATTTTATAGGCTGATTTTACAATGGGAGGTAAAACTATAATATTAGAACAATATGAAGCAGTTAAACACACACAACACTGGCTGAAAGCAGAGTGTGTACGTAATAGAAAGATTATATTAAAAGGCACTTTGTGAAGAATTTTGGTCAGTAAGACTGGAAAAGCACCACTACATTAATAAAGCCTGGCCGATTGAAAGCCGGAAAGGAAAGTTGGTATAAATGCTGACTGTGTAAGGCAACAGACATACTAGCATTACAGCTCTATCACGAATAAACAGCAGGATCTGCCACAGTAAATTGTGGATGAGATGTGTATAAGGCAATTGTTGCCTTACTCTTTCAGCTGCAGGAAAAATGTGAAAAACAGGTCAAATGTAGATCTAACTTAGGTGCAAATGAGGTCCACATGTACAAATATGTGCCCTGTTTTAGCATCCTATATGAAGGAGTCTATATCTATATTCCTTATTGATGCTAATGACAGAAAAACTTCAGACTTAAGTGTCTGTGAACAGAGGTCTGAGAGCTCTTCCAGGAATGGTGATACTGTTTTTGGGATCTGCTCCAGAGCAGATTAGCTGTCTGGCATAAGTTTCTATGGTCATATATCCCAGAAAGATGTGAACTGCCTTTGTAATCCAGAAAGCCCAGGCCTAAACTTGAAGTTACCTGGCTAAGATGAAAACCTACTTCATAATACACGTCTCTCTGGTGCACTGAAAGAGTTAGTGGCAAAAGCACTGAGTTGACATTTCAGACTTTTTATCAGAATAGAGAAGTTGGATCGGTGCATCCTTACTTTTATCCAAGCCTCCAGGCTATTTGCAATATAGTTGTGGACACTCCCAGTTTGTTTGTTTTTTAATGTTAGATGGCTCACAATTCAGATTTTTTATATATATAGTTGTGAAACCTCATTTATAAATTCTGTGAAATGTTTGTGCTACTGCATGAAATCTAGACTCAAGTGATTTCATCTATATTTTTAATAACCATGAATCAAAGAATGAAATCTGTCAAGAAAAACATGCAAAAACTATGCTCTGTCACCTCTTTGGAAATTATTAAACATTTTTTTAAACCTGTTACATGTTTTTTTTTTTCCCAGTTAATACAGTCAAGAACAGACATGCAAATAACAAGTAGAATAACATGAAAAATAAAATGTAACATAAAGCAGTTATTGTTGGAAGACTTTTATTTCAAAGTTTAGTTATAAAAATGCCATTCCAGACATCTCTGCAGGGAGAACAATGCCTTTTTAATCGCTTTGTGGACGCGTGTGTCAGAGCTCAAGTGTTTCGGGATCTGCGGCACTCCAGGATGCAATCAAATATCTGCTTTCTATCATGAAGCGCATTGCAAGCTCTGAACCACTGAAACTGCAGTAACTGTGAGGAAATATTTAAGCAATAAATTCAATTTTTCTGCTTGCAGAGGGACCGGCAAACCCAGGCCACAATCCTCAGTTCCCTGAGTTAGTAACAAACAACGTCTCTACGGGGGTGACGGCTATCCAAAATAACCTTAAGCTACTAATGCTCACTATTCATTTTCGAGGGGTTATACCTACTTGTTAGAAAATACACGAATCTACAGTGCAAGCACTAGTATGTTATCAAAGAATAAGAATTCCATTTGTGCACTCTACTAGCAAGGCAACCATAACAGAGAGGTAAGCTGTGAGTCTAACCATTATAATAAATCACAAATTAACACTGCGAGTGAGAGTTGGTAAGTAGGTTAAAAGCTGCATTCAGGCTTGTGCTGAAGTGGTAACACAGTTTGTTTTTGTTGCAGATTTAAGCTTTGCTCATGTGTCTACATTAAAATTATTTTTACTAGTTTGGGGCTTAATTTAACTCCTGTTATAGCAAGTTATACCATGCAGATCTATGGCCTGTATGCAAGCATACGACCACGTCTGTCATTCACTGGGAAATGTATGCTCTTATTTTGTTACAGTGCATTCAGGATTATAACTATTTACAATATTATCTGTACAAAAAAAACTCATTGCCCTTCCCTGGCTTCTTATAAACAAAGTGTACAGGTAGATACATCTTGCAGCAGCACAGAGGCTGACACCGGTATTGCTTCGTTGTGAAACAAGACAACATCGATAATAAAAGACCTGCCGACACAGTCGCTCAGTGTTTTCAGGTCGTGCGTGGCTCCTTTTGTTATTTTAAAGTGTCTCTTAGGAGAAAAAGCAAGTTTGAGTGATGTCCTCAGGTAAGCATGTCCCAAACAGACAGTCATATTAGCAGGGTGTGTGTGTTGTGAATAGACTGTGATAGCTGCTCAGTGTCTCAGCACCATGAGTGTCCATATGGAGGTGTCCAAAGGGACTGGGAACTTCAGATGGGAAGTCATTGAGAGCCTTTGTCAATCAACCAAGAAATGTCTCCAGTCCTAAAACACACACACACACACACACGGACACATAAAATCCCATTACATACAAACAGTTGATAAATTACAGCTCCCTGTGAGTGGCTGTTAATGCGTGAAGCAGTAAGGAGAAAAAGCAGATATTTTTCCATACTTGCCAAGTCGTGTTAACATCCTTCAGGTTTTTTGCAAGCATTATTAGAAACAGAAGACACAACAACAGTATGGTCACAAAAACAAGAAAAAAGTGGAGACAAAGGATTCCAGCAACATCATTACGGTACGGTTCTGCTGCATTTAACAGATCCAGCAGTTCCTAATAATAGTCAAGAAACTGAACTTGTTTGGTCTTTTTCTAGTTTTACTTAATATTATATTACTGTTAATGTTTACTCATAACAAAAATAGAGAGAATCACAAGCAATTAATTCTTTTTAGAATTTATATACAGTTAAAGACATAATAGTAGTATAATATTATATATCAATAATATTATTGGTGGTTAAAGTGAAACATTAAACTTAGAGTTTACTTGGAAATTACAACTGCTTAAACTATTTAAATACTTCATAACTATGCTGGTTCTTTCTTAAAATGCAAATGTACTCAGTGTATTTGCTATACAGTCAATGAATATTTTGTTAGGTACACCTGTTCAACTGCTTGTTACACAAATGCCTAAACAGCCAATCACATCTCAACAACATAACGTATTTAGGCATGGAGACAAGATAACGTGTTTAAGTTCAAACTCTGCATCTGAATGAGGAATTAAGGTGATTTTGAGTGACTTTAAACGTGGCATGGTTGTTGGTACCAGATGGGCTGGTGTATTCCAGAAACTGATGATCTGCTGGGATTTTCCCAAACAACCATCTCTAGAGTTTGCACAAAAAACATCCAGAGGACAGAGGAAAATGACCAGACTGCTTCGAGCTGACAGAGAGGGAACAGTGACTCAAATAACCCCTTATTTCAACCAAGGTATGCAGTAGAGCATGAATGAATGCACAACACATTAAACCTTGGAGCAGAGGCCTACAGTAGCAAAAGACCACATACGGTGCCACTCCTGTCAGCTACGAACAGGAAATTGAGACTACAATTCATGCTCACCTGAGACACAATATTCACCAAAATTGAGCAATAGAAGAATGAAAGAACTTTGCCTGGTCTGATGAGTCTCAATTTCTGCTGCAACATTAAAATGGCAGGGCCAGAATTTGGCATAAAGAACATGAACACATGGATGCATCCTGCCTTGAATCAATGGTCCAGGCTGGTAGGGGTGCTGTAATGCTGTGGGGGATATTTTCTTGGCACACTTTGAGCTCCTTACTACCAACTGGGTACCACTGGGATGTGGTGGAACGAGAGATTCAACCTGGTGCCAGCAGGGTTTAACTAATTGTCAAAAGAGTGTATATAGTTAGTGGGGAAAATTTGTAATCCTTAAAATACAGTTTTAAAATATCAATAAATCATGTAAAATATCTAAATATATTATTGCTCTGTAGTGTGTTAAAATAAGACCATTTATTTGGCTCACAGAAAACTTTTCGTATGATTATAAACTCCATGTCTCACTGTGGTTTCTGTCAAATTGATAACATTTGTCAGGTATTTCTTTAACATAAACCTTAGACACCAAAATTATTATTGTAACCACGACCAGATTCTGGTCCGGAAGGACACTTACTCCACATCTCGCTTCTTAATCGTCTTTCCGGATCCTAGGACCTCTGCCACTCGGGATACAATGGGATCATAGTTCATGCTGGCGACAGAAACCACCTCCTCACTCCTATAGATGGACCAGAGGAGGAAACAATGAGAAGGTACCTTCACAATAAAAGATAAATATTAGTTCACAATAGTTAAAAAACAACAACACACAAACGAACTAAGATATCAGAAAAATTCTAGAAATCTTACCTTGTATAAAATGCTACAAAGCGCAGTTCATCCAGATCTCCTTGTATAATGACATCATCAAATCCATCACCATAACCTCCACAAACAGAAAAAAATAATCCGACTCAGGCCTAATTCTTGGTCACGGGCTTCATTTTTGTTCAACTAGATGGCAGTGTAGTACCAACATTTCAGGGCACACGCATTTCCTCTCAGTCTCTGATCTTTTTTTCACAGTCAGTCTTCCTCTTAACACAAACTTTCAGGCTAAAGCAAACACTAAAGATGGTTGGAAGGCCCGCCTACCTGCATAGCGTATGGTCTTCCCAAACATGGCTGACCAGAAGTAAGGCACGGTTTTGACCTCAGTGGCTCTGCCCATCATGCTAAGAGCTGCTACCTTTCCTGTTAGTGCCAGTGGAAACCAAAAACATTGACATAGTTGAGTTATAAAAGCCTTAGTTATGGAATGTGAATGCAGTCAAGAACATGCTACAACAAACTCACCGTGTACATGAGCCATTTGCCAGTGAGGGATGTTCACCTTCTTGTTGTTGCGTGGTGGGAAAGGAAACATCACCACATCTCCTCCAGCAAAGACCCCATCAACATTTGTCTGCATATTCTGGAAGAAAGATGTAAGAATTTAACGAAATAGGAGTCAAACAGTTTAAGTGAGGCTCCAGGCTCTGCACAGCACCTTGTTTACAGTAATGAAGCCCTTGGAGTCTAAGTGGATGCCGCTCTGTTTCAGGAACCCTGTTGCAGGAACGCTTCCTGCAAGAGAGCAGAGCAAGAGTGCAAAAACACACTTTTAATGTCACCAAAGTAATTTTTAGATAATTAATGACAGACAATAAGGACATATTCTGTATTATGTTTCATATCACCTGCTCCAATGACACACACATCTGCCCGCAGGACTTTTCCACTCTTCAGTACAACCTCTTTCAACTGTAACAGGGAAAAAACAGCTTGCAGTTATGCGCTAGTGTATCTATTGATACATTAACAACTCTCACGCAAAATAAATGTTAATATAAAAACTGGTCTTTTTATTCTGTTGTTTTTTTTTACTGAGAAATGGGATTATACATGTAAAGTCACGGCGTCTCTCAAAGTTATTTAGATCATTTCCCCCAAGAGATGGATGCAATCTTCAATATCCCAAGTTCAGTGGACACAATGTCTATCTCCTTATCTGAGTTTTGCCACGTTATCAAACAAGAGACAATAGTGCGTCCGAGCATTGTGCTGTTTCTCTCACTTTCTGAATACCTGTCCATGATGGCCAACCATCTCTGACACCTCGTTCAGCATGTAGAATTTCACCCTGTTTGCCTCAAACAGCTGCGAAGACAAAACGGTTCTAGTGAATACTCGAAAACAGAGAGAGAAAAAATTCACAGCTGAATTTTCATGTGTCTGCATGATCAATCGCCGCTAATGAGAAGATTTACACTCCCATTTGTGGCGCAGTATTGACCTGCGAAACATGATTTGCATTTTAACTAATAGTTTCCTCTCAGGGAGAATGCTGATGATAGAATTGTGAAAGTGCTTCATGTTCTGAAAAGCTTGATTTCCCAGGAGGGCGTCTCTACCTTCATTATGGCTTTCCCTACTTTCTCCCCGAGAGCTTTTTTAAAAGGGACCGACTCGATCCCGATGACAGAGACTGAGTGGGCCTTGTCAGTCAGAGCTGCAGCCACCTCCATACCTGCCGTCATAATGAATAAACACTTAACATACACACTAGTTAATGCAGGATGACACAAAACAGTAATACATTAAGAGTTAACACCTTTGGAAATGAGTGGACATTTTTTATATGCAAAGCTGTACTGTGAAAAAAATGTCTGAATTAATTAATATATAAATAAAACAATAAATGAAAGAATATAATATAATGTTTAAAAACTGTACAGTGTATCAATATATTAGTTTTATCTATTAAATAAAAGATAGAATTTTGAATATCTGATACTTTTTTGTTTTGTTTTGCGAATTTAAATGTTATGAAAACAATATGTTTATAAATGTGTCTTTGTCTCACCCACAAATGACGTTCCCACAATCACTGCATTCTTGTTGTTGGCTAGCCTCGCTATGCTGTTAGCATCCTCGGGCGTCCTGAGGTGAAACACATTCCTGACATCTTTGCCCTTGTAGTTCATTGGTTTTGGTCTTTCAAGCAGGAACAGGAGCACAATGTCAGTTTACTCATTTACATTCTCAGCTCTTTGGCATCACGAGAAAAGAATATTTTTTGCTTACTTGCTTCCTGTAGCAATAAAGAGTTTCCTGTACTCCATCCTCAGGCCATCTTCAAATATCACAGATTGTGTTTTCACATCTATTGCCACCACCTAAAAAAGCACAAAACAAAAACAATGAAGGTGTAAATTGAAGTTTTTCTTCGGTTTCTTTTTTTAAAAACAGTCCTAACAAAAAATAGATATATACATATCATTAAACATTAATTAATGATTAATTAAACATTTAAATATTAATCACCTCTTTCTCTTTGAGAAGTTCAATGTCATGATCTTGCAAGAAGTCCATGGAGCGCAGTCTCAGCTGCTCTGCCGTGCTCTCTAAGGACTGAGGGGTAGCAAGTTAGCACTGAGCAAAGGAAACAGTTGGAACAAAGTCTAGAAATGTTATTTAACCCTTTCATTCCCATGCTATTGCTCGAAACTGCAAAGTCACAATTAATCATATTCAACCTGTTGTAAAAACACAACAGATCCTGCAGTCATTCTAGTCACAGAAGTATTAGGCAGTCTCTTTTGTGACTAGGCAGCCTTTAAAGTGTGTTTTTACACCAGATATGACTCAAGATCTTAGTCATATTTGGAATTATGAATTATTTATATATTTTTTTTATGTACAAGCCATTTTCCTTTGCTTTGTTGGTTGTTCTGAAGTGTGTAGCTTTTCCTCAAAGAACTGTTTTAGCAGCGCTGACCACAGCAGCACCTCTGCAGTCTGTTATGTAACTTTGGTGGCTAAGTGAGGTCTATCTCATTGTATGTGTTCAGGGTCTGTGTACAAACCTTACTCAGTTTAGGCCTGTCATATGGAGGATGTTTGTCCATAGTGCACATGACAATGCGATCTGTGAAGCCCTCTTGCCTCAGTGTTTCTGCACACACCAAACTGGCTGGACCTGCCAGTAAGTTAACCAAAACAGATGCACATAACATTGCAAGGAAGAAACTCAAAGAAAGATGGAGTTATTTAGGGTCAGCTGTGAGACATAAAACAATAAAGAGGATACACACACACACACACACACTAACCTGAGCCAATAATGAGAACATGGCTGAATCCTGTGTTGGAGTTAATGACTGCTGAACATCGGGCCATGGGCTTTGACCTTTTCTGTGACTGAAGAGCCTGAAAATCATTAAAGAAAGATCCTAGGTCAATCAGTTGGTCAGCTGACTTTCCTGCATGAACTCTTCATCTTCTTCTTCGTGTTACCTGCTTGTTTGCCCGAATGATCACCTTGTCCTTTTCAACTCTGACCTGCAAACAGAATTATGTGATGTGTACACTTTTTGATGATCATTAAAAAGATGATTAGGCAGAAAATGTGTTAAGAGGTAGCACCAGTGTGGAAGGTCACCTGAAAGATGGGCAGGCTGTCCAGTCCAGGGAAGTCCTCAATGTCTCCTGTTGCAATGTTGAAACATGCACCGTGCCAGGGACAGCGCACATGTCCTTTGGACAGCACACCTGAAATAACAGCATATGGCCCATCCATACATTTTGTTTAGCAGTCTAAGCAGCGACACCCAGACATCTCTCTCCCCAGCCATCTTCTCCAGCTCATCCAGGGGGGACATCAAGGCATTCCCAAGCAAGAAAAGAGACGTAATCTCCCAGAGATCATTTCCCAGAGATTGTGGCCATTACTGAGCCAATATTAACCAGTAAATTGGCAACTTTGCTTTCATACTAAGCTCCATCTTTACCACAACAGACCAGTACAGCATATGTATTATTGCAGATCCCATGCCAATCCATCTGTCAGTCTTCTGCACCAAGACCCCGAGATACTAAAACGTCTCCCCTTGGGCAGCAACTCATCTCTGACCTGGAGTGAACACTCTACCCTATTCCAGTTAAGGACAATGGTAATGTTTCTCATCCACTTCACACTCAACTGTCACTGCCTGATGAGGACAGAAGAATCACAATATCTGCAAGGACCAGAGATTTCATCCTGAGGCCACTAAATCAGAAACCCTCCATCACTAGTCTACACCTAGAAAATCCATAAAAGTCATGAACAGAATCACTGACAAAGAACAGTCCTGGTCTTTGAGTCCAGCTTTTACTGGTAACAGGTTTACTAATGGCAATGTGAACCAAGCTCTTGCTGTGGTTATACAGGGACTGAATGGCCCTTAGTTACTCCCTACTCTCAAAGCATTGCCCACAGGAAAAAACACATAGACTGGTTGAGCAAACAATCACGAGATCTATCATCATAGAGTGTCCTGGGGTTCATTATACTTACTGACATTCTCATGCTCAAACTTTGTGTTTGTTATGGACAAACTGTGGTTAGCACATAAGTTTAGTAACACAGCTCCACTCAGGTTCAGATCTGTCAGGCTGCCCCTCCCAGTCATACCCCTCCTGGTCACACTGTCGTTGCCAATATGAGTATTAAAGTCCTTCAGCAGAACACTTTTAAGCACCACACCAAGTAACTCCAAGAAAAATCAGTACACTTGATTGTCATTCAGCACAAACGATGGTCAGGACCTATTCCCCCACCTGAGGGTGCAGGGAAACAGCTTTCTCATCCACTGTGGAACACTATGTGCAGACATCGAACTCGGGGGGCACAAATTTACCCATCCCTGCTCGCCCCGTCACTCCATAACTCAAAATATATATCTCACCTTTAACCAGAGGTGCTCCATAGTGTGGACACTTGTGGCCCATGGCTGTGAACTCCCCATGTTCTTTAATCAACAGAGCCCTGCCGCTTCCCAAATCAACCTCTCGCATTCTGTCAAGCACACAAAATAAAATGATAGTCAGATCCAGAGTAACTGGACAATGACATGCTTTCTGTAATTCAACTCAAACAGCTAAGATGTGATTGATGATGTGATTGATGTGTAAACTTTACTTTGAAAGGATTTTACAACCTCAATTCCAAAAACATTGGGACACTGTATAAAATGTAAACATAGAAATAAAGCACAATAATTTGCAATTCACATAAATTGATATTTTATGAGATTTTATTCACCGTAAAATATAGAAGTTGTGATGGGGGAAACAAAAGGCTGAAAAAGTAAGGGGTACTTAATAGATACAGCTGGAGGAACATTTTGTAGGTAACTAGGTTAACTGGTAACAGGTCAGTAACATGATTGAGTGTAAAAAGATCCTCTTTTAGAGACAGAGTGACATCTCTTTGGACTTCATAAAGTCAGTCTGGAACTGGCCTCACCTAGTTATTAAACTGCTTGTCACTCAAGTGTCCAACCTATTTTTGAGCTTCTGAAAATGAGACACTATGTATAATAAATGTCTTTAATTCCTAAACAGTTAATACAGTACTTCTGTTAAAGTTCGAGTTAAAGCAGAAAGTCTGCACTTCAGCCACATTTTGATTAATTGATTTAAAACTCATTGTTTCATGTACAAAACTACAACAACTGTATCACTATCCCAGTGTGTATTGCTATAACTACATGTGTTTGGTCATGGATGCTTCTAACAAACAATTTCTGCACTTTAAACAGGAGGCAATGTATCTGTGCTACATCTATGCAGGTCACCTAAAAACACTAAAATCAAAGAATTAATTAATTCTGGGTGACCTCCAAACGTCCTCACAATTTAGTTCTTAACTACCATTAACGATGGGAAATGAAATTTTGCCTTATCTTAATGGAAAAGGAAACACAATCCTGATCTCACAATTTAAGACGGCCTTGCTTAATTCAATACTTCCCAAGCTTTACTTTCCTTCAGTATTTTATCATATTTAAAATGTGCATCAACAGGTGAATAAATAAAAAAAAAAAGCTGCATGATCACGTTCTTACTGTCCATTTTCCAGATCTTTAACGTGGCACACAGAGGCCTCCACATAGTCCCGGGGTTTGTGGTAGAGAGGGAGCAGGGTGGAGTCATCGTCAGAGCCGTGAGCCAGGGCCCCGTTAGGTCTGCATTCAGCAAAGGGGCTCGCTTTGCCATTAGGCGACAACCCGTCCACCTCTTTTTCTTTATCCAGGAGAGAGAGTTCCACTTTTACTTCAACTGCACAGCAGAGACATGGCCCAATCAGAAAATGTGCGAAAACGCACAGCTGAATAAATGCAGTTGATGCAGAATTATGGTGTGAAGGTTTAAAATGAAAATGATTTCAGGGGATATTGATGCTAACGATCACCAGTGGACTATCTTTATTATTCCATAAACCTGTTCTGTGTTATTTCATTTCTATCCTTCTCTAGAGTTTTATAGCAGCAATTTGCCTTACAGCCTAGAGAGATGTCTACAACCTTAGGACAAATTGACTCCGACATCCACAAAGCTCAAACAAATGAAAGCAGGAAGCATGTGCAACCCTGTCTTCTTTTTTTCTCTCCCTTCTAGTGCATACCTCTTATTCAGTTGTTTCTTTGGTGATGTGGTATAAAAATCCTCAAAATAGGGAGATAGTTTGACAATTTGCATTTAAATTAAAAAAAAAATCATCAGTTCATTCTCAAAAATACGATTTAACCAGGTTGAAGAGGCTTTTTAAATGATGCTCGTTAAATAATGCGATATTCATGGGAGCGGTGGAGATTTAAGTGCAGGTTCAGCTCTCCCAAGGTGACAGCAGAAAAATACAGACTGCAGCAGCACGGAGCACATTAATCTATGGATTTTGGAGCCACTCAGTTTTCTCTGATGCGCTGCTGTTTGCTTTGTATTTGCGAACATTAAGAAGCGGTTGTGTAACTCCTTTTTCACTGCAGCAGGCTTTATCTGTTCGGCTGGAAAAATGTGCTGATCATCCGGTTCTTACACAGTAATCTGGCTGGAATTTTCTCCTGCTGAGCAAGTCTTAATTAAAATCAATGGAAAATCATAGTAGTGAGTGCATTTGCAGGAGAAAAGAAAGAGAAAGCTTTCCACGGCTGAAGAGAATCTCCAGAAGCAGCTGTAATATCTGAGGCTAAATAAGACGTGGTCACACAGATGCTTCATTTGATCAGACTAAGTAGTTATCAGGGTTATAACATACATAAATATATTTGATCTAATTCTTGTAAGTTGCCCAGCACAGACTTTACATTTACTCAGTAGAAAGCATGGCATAGATAATGATGTAAAATGTTCAGATTTTATATTTATTTTTTGTATTTCTTCACATTTTTAGGCAAATGAAGATGGTCCAGCAGTTTGTCTTTAAAGGCCTCCCTCCATCATAGACTTTCTAATGGTGCAAATTTACTCCCACTTTTTACTCACTTCTATATAAGTGGGAATAAATTATCCTCTACAGTATTTACTGTATATTTACAGTGGGAGTCATCCTTATTTATAAATCATAGTATAAAGTATCCAAATAAGCTACTTTATAGGTTTCATGTTAATAATGTTCTTTTCCATCTCATGCTTTAACACGTCTCCCTGGGTAGAAGATGCTCTAAATCTCATTGTACATGTGTATAGTGACAATAATAATCTTTTCGATTCTTCTCATTCTATTAGAACTTGAAAGTGACTTCAGCCTTTGACCTGAGACATTTTTCCAGTGTAGATAGTAAATTTTTATTGTGCATTGAGTGTGCATTAGTAGCTGGAGGTTACACTGTTATCAACACTTATTACTGTTCAGCTTTGTCTCTGAACTGATGATGAAATCTTATTCAGTGCACCTGAATGTGAAGTCGAGTATGTTATTAGAGTACCTCTTAGCAATGCCAACACTGAGGTGATGCATAAACAGATCTCACATGTACTGTACATATGTCAGTTTTAGATATTTGTGTCTCAGTATGTAGTCCTTAATAACCAAAGACAGTAGGGAGAGCATTTAAATTCCTCCCACACACACATACACACACACACACACACACACACACACACAAAATAAACTGCAAACAGAGGAGGCTGAGGGGAAGTGTATAACAAGATTTGGAAGCAACAGCTCTGAAAATGACAAACAAAGACACCAAACGGTCCCGATTTACATTGAAAAGCTTCATAATTTTAACCTTGTATAGAATAAAAATTAAAATAGTGTGCTTTTTGTATAATTATTGTGTTATATTTTCTTCACTATCCTTACAACTACTACAAGGACTGCAGTATTTCTTTAAAAAACATTCTGCATTCATAATGCCATCAGTTTTGACAAGATTCCCAACATCACTGAGTGAAACAGCCCAAAACCACAACAGAGATTTCGTCATGTTTTACAGATGGCTGTAGACACTCACTATTGCACCTCTCTCCTGCCCTGACGCACATATTAACAATTTGAATGAAGACTTTGGCTTCTTGACAGCCACCCTTCAATTGAGAGCATTGCTGATGAGGCTTTGGTGAACAACTGAAGGGTTAAATGCATCACTCAGGTCGTGCCCCAAGTCTTGTTAGATTTTTTCCTATTTCTTAAGGACGTTACTTTCACATACTATTCATGTGCTGCAGATAGTTTATAGGAAGGCTTCTTCTTCTGCCTGGCACTAAGGACACACTGCGCACCATGCTGTGATATGGCATGTTTTTTTTTTTTACTAAAAGCTTTTTGGGAATCACCTTGTTAGTGCAAAAATACAATTTTATATCCATCAGTCTTTGTTACCTTTGGCATTTTTCATATATTCAGCTAAAGAAATTGGAACAAATTTTGTGTTTTTGGACGGTAGTGACAAAGTTCTTATTTAAAATAGTTTTTTTTTTTCTAATGAACACTGGTTTATCATTGAGTTAGGTCCCTTGTTGAACAGTGTTAAAAGGTACAAGGACTGGAGTGAAATGAGAGAAAAAGCAGCCAATAAATCCAATACATTTTTGAAAGACCTTCAGAAAACCCGGAGAACCATTTCTTAAGACCACTTTAAAAGAATTAAAAGCCTGGCTCCTTGGAAGCAAAATATAATAAAATGAGCGGTGACTCAAGACTTATAAAGATGTATATAAAGACAAAAAATTATCCAAAAAAGTAAAGGACATCATACAGCAGTTGTGGATTTTACTAATTTACTAATGCTTGAATTGGGCAAACAGGCTGTTTACCTGGTTTGGGTTTGGAGAAGCATCCTCCCATGGTGGGCCCAGGATTGAGGGACACCCAGGGAGAGGGAGGGAGAGGGGGAGAGGAGAGGAGGGGAGGTACAGTCAGATCGTGGAGCTGGGCTGCTTGTTTTGGAGGTAACGGTAATGCAGAGCTGGAGGTCTGAGAACCTGCAGGTCCAAGCTGGCCATCGCACACGTCAGCTCCTCCACATAATCTGAATGCACAGAGCGAGTGAAATTGTAAACAACACACACACCGTCACACTGTGATGACTTGCTGTTAAAAGCATTAGAAAATGTACTTGTGTTGTTTTTATCAGTACCAAACTGATATTTGTCTTTATGTCTGTGTTACTAATGTGCAGCTGATGTCGCTCTGAAATGTGTGAAGGATGCAGAAGTCAGACCCTGAGGAGAGCTAACCCAGCCACTGTTTATCTTTGTCTATGTAACATGTTAGTGCTTGTAAAAAGGAAGCAATTGTGTTAATTAGGAACATGTCCACACACACTGTTGCCTTTGTTCATGCATATTGCATGGGAAACTGTTAAATATTAACAGCACTCCGACACCTATTAGCTTTCTCGTCACACTGCGCTTTAAAGGGAAGCAGGGGCCCCTTGAGTTTTAAAATCCCCCTTGTTTTGTTTCCACATTGCCCTCACACATTTCTGCCAGCTCTGGTATTTCACCCACACATACTGTAGCTAGTTACTCACTGGCTGCTATGAATCTCGGCATACACAGGATGGCAGGTGTATCACTCAACATGGTGCAATCCATCACCAAATTATCCTATTGAGGTTCAACCAAAAGGACTGCTTGATATTCTGAGCACATCTTAATGTCCTTGAACTTTAGAAAAAAAAACTTTGCAGTACTGAATGGAGCGCTGCTTAGAGAAAGTTCCTGAAGACAAATGAGAAATGGAAAGATCTCCTCTAATTGGACAGAAATCTGCAGCTAACAGTGTGTTGGTGTTGCATATGTACACTGTATTTATTTGCTCTGGATGAAAGTACATTTACTCAAGTACTTATGATATTTAGGATGGTCCTTAGGTTCTGAGGTTTGGATTTTTTAGGATTTTTAGTTCCCTCTGGTTCCCCTGTCTTGTATCTTGTGTTTGATTTCATTGTTGTGTTATTTTCTATTTTCCTTTAAAGGTTAACCTTAGTTTAATGGTCTGTTTTCCCCTTAGCCCCGCCCTAACTGTATTCACCTGTGCTGATTATGTTAAGTTGTGGCTCATCCCCACCAATCTCCTGTTGCCTCTCAGCCCTCTCTGTGTGTATGTGTAGACCCGCCTTCCCATTAATTAAAGCATCTGTTTATGTTCCTCTCTATTGCAGCTCAGTTTGTTCCCATATATTTTGGATTATTTCCCGGCTCTGTTTATTTTGGACATATCAACTGCGATAAAGTCTCTCTTTTATTTTCCTCTTTCTGGACTCGCATGCTGGATTCAGGCTCTGTTTATACCACCAAACTTGACAACTTAAGTATATTTTTGAGCTACTAGTGCTGCACACAAAAATATTCATTTTATGCTCTGCTTTTCTTCATTTCCATAAAAAGTTTAAATTAAAATATTTAAAAAAAATAAATAAATGGATGTTAAGTGCTCTATCCAAAATTTACTCATTTCAGGTGGGAGGCGCAGTAGTACAGTGGTTAATGCTGTCACCTCATAGAAAGAAGTTACTGGGTTTGAACTTCCTCTCTGGGCCCCTCTCTGTATGGTTTCCCTGGCCCTGTGAGTGCTCCAGGTTGTCCCCAAAACATACGTGTTGGGTTGACTGGTGACTCTAAACTGGCTAGAGATATTGATGTAATGTGAGGTGTTATATCCAGAGTGTATCTTGCCTTTTGTCCTGTCAGCTCAGATAACCAGGCTGGATAAGCTGATGGATGATTTGACCTTTCAGACCTGCAATCTCTTACAAAGGGCACTTTGTAAAGACCTTTTGCCAGTGTCTTAGCTCTTAGTCTAAAGTTGATTTGAGGCGCTATAGACTGAGCGTGAAGTTGCATCTGATAATGGAAATATCTTAGCAGGTTAATTGTACATTAAGCAGTTTTTAACCTGCCAGCTCTGTTTCTTTCCATGTAACAACAGCACAGGTAATTGTCCAGTGAAATCACAGCATATTTCACTCCTGCCTGCTGTATGCTCTACCTAGACAACACTCTTCCCTAAACCTTCTGAAGTGTTGCCAGTAGTGAGAACGCATGTGAAGTGTACCACCTCCTGCTGTGTGCCACATATGAAAAGGACAACTGCAGATTCTACAAACATTATTTGGAGTTCAAACACTTTATGAGTTGTAAGTGTTTCAACAAGAGACAGAATCCCCAATAAACCTTTTAAATGGTTTGCTAATCCAAAGAGGTAAAACTATTCGAATACTTCACCAAAAGGCAAAGATGGCCTTTTTGTGAAATATTGGCTAGATCTCACTTCATTAATCATCTCAGGACTCTTCAAATGTATGTCATGGCCCTTTAAGTAAACCCTATATTGGAAATGGCTACTAAAATACACTTGTGCACATTTTTTTGCTAATCATTAAGTAGGGTGTATTTTTCCGTTGTTGTTTTAGGACTTTTACTTAAATAAGGATAATATTTTAATCGTTGTTTCTTTGAGATGTCACTGAACAAGGTGTTACTTGACTTGTTAAGCCAAAAATCTAATGAAAATCTAGTGATCTCGCTTGGCTCTGGCCTCTTTTCAATCTGTATTTTTGCGCTGTTCCTTCAAATATCTATGCCAAGCACATTTCCTTGCATTTAGTTAACATCCATGCCAGCACTGCCAAGTGCTTTCTGTGTAAGCCACTAACTAGAGAAAGCAAAAAAAATAAATAAAAAATCAAGTCCCTTTCTGAAGGCTGAAGATATGTAGGAAAACTTGCCCCTTGCATGTTGTCCCTTAAATAATTCGTCACCACTGAAACTTTGATGAACAACAAATTGGATCACAAATAGCTACCATACTGGAGCTCCAATAAACCCAAGATATGTTGTGCAAAACTAAAGTAGGTTAAGCAGATTTGGTCCTCACAACATATGACGCAGATCCCTCACTCTTTCTCACTGTTGGGCCTGTCCCCAAGCAGTGCTAATAATCCTGCCTGCAAACAAGCTGTCAGCTTCACTCACTTCCCTACAAATGCAAAACCTGTTACTGGAATGTCAGAGGGGAGAATTAGCAAAATGCCAACTCCTGGTTGGTGGAAAAGAGGCTGATCTATAAAGTGAACGTGAGTGAAACAAATGCCAGCCCTTTGATGGACACACCCACTGAAATTACCACCACGCAAACTGTGATAGCATGTGTAACGTTAGCAGAAGAGGAACATGCTGCGATCTCCTTATGTACTAAGAGAAGATCAGCTTTTCATTCACTTCATAACACCTTGACTATTTTAAAACACCTGCTTTGGCAGGTATCCTGACAGGTTAGCCTGTAGTTAGAGTTCTCTGATCCTTGGCTGATAAAAGGCCTCATGCTGCTTAATATTTGACCACGCTTCTTTCCCTCACAGTCAGCTCTTCTGGTTTGTGAAATGCAAGATAAGCCTGAGGAGTCATCCTGCAATTGCGTAAACCTGCTGCTGAGCTTACTGACCATTTATTTTATTTACTAGCGATTTAATGAAGTCTTCATTGCCCCTGACAAATGTATAAAAATGAAAACATTTTAATCCTTGATCTTTTTTTGTTGGTGTCTTTTTGCTGTTCATGTGTTAATTGTTTGCAGTGAAAGGAGACAGGAGGGACAGGGAAGCCATATCTGAAGTTAAAGGTGTTCCCTGAAATGCCGCCAAGCTTCTGATTGACTTCTGTTTACTCTAGTGCCTACGTGTCACAGACGATGAAAGAAAAAAGTGTGGATTACAGTTACCACAATCCCCATTAGGAGGCTCCAGTGTGTGTGTGTGTGTGTGTGTGTGTGTGTTGAATATCATTGAGATTATTCAGATCAGTGTTTGTGTATAGTCTTGCTTTTGTTTCCTTTGATTTGAAGAAATAAATTCAGCTCCATGTGACGCCAACAGAAACGGGAATATAATGTGTGATAGATAAACTATACATTTACCTGATTACAGAGTCAGGTACAGTCCTAATTAAGCTTTTAAGGAGAATTCAAAAAACATTACTGCTTCACATGATACAGCAGCTGCCACGTGGTTCAAGAAAACAAAGACCAAATAAGCATTCAGCGTTATTTACTGTCCAACAGCACAGAGTTCATGAAGTAGACAAGTTCCTGTGGCTTTATGTTGACTCAGATGCCAATATGTTTTGTATGTATTTATCTGTAAAGCTTAAGTTGGTTAACAATGGCACTACATGGCTCTATCAGGTAATTTTGCTGCTACTTTGAGCGATAACCTCTCCATGATGTCATGGAAAACTGGAACTGAGTTCTTCAGAGGGGTGTACACCCCTACAGGGCAGCTGTACTTCCTTAGAGCAGTTCTGAGAGTGACCAGTTTCTCAGCACACACACGCAGACGCATACAAAGATACACATGGCTGCTGTCAAATTATGATTGGAGATGTGCTGTGATATATTTGATCTGTTTTCATTTTTGTAAAAGTTACTGGTGTATATGGACTGGAAAACATTATCTGATATACGTGAAGCTGGAGAGATCAGAATTTCTCCAAGATTTTCATCTATTCCACTCATGAGTGTGTTTTTATTAACAAACTGATTTGTAGAGAAACAGTGAATGTTTCTCTACAGAAGAGCCCCCAGAGCAAGCAACTTCCTTATAGAAGTACTGTATGTGACCACAGTGCACCAATGCAGGCAAAACCCACTTGAAGAAATAAGTGGGATCTCTCTCTCTCGCGCGCGCGCGCGCGCGCACACACACACACACACACACACACACACACACACACACACACACGCAGCATCACATAAACACATATAAAGTAATTACCTCTAACTCTGAGTCCCTGGTGTAAAATGAATGTGAAGGGTCTTACCCGCGTGCATGGAGCAGGTGCACTGAGATCCTGTCAAAGTCCCTGGTGCTCAGCCGTCCCTGCGGAGCACGGCAGCATATTAGCACGGCTCTCCTCGCAGTCTTCTCCCTCTCCGGATTGGCTCTCTCCGCTAGAGTATTCCCAGTCTGCGTGTCCCTCCGTACCCTCCTCCGCACTCCTCTTCTTCCTCTTGATGCAGCAGAGGCTCCAGTGAGTGAGTGAGTGTGTGGGTGAGCGTACGTGTGTGTGCGCTCTGCCCCTCTCAGAGTCCCCCTCAGCAGCAGCAGGAGCAGCACACTGAGCCGACCGGTCGTGGGAGTTGCTCTCTTTTGCAGTCCGAGCCTGAAAACGCAGCACGGAGGACCTTTGCCAGTTTCTCAGCTGTATGCGGTATTGATGGAGTTGCTGAGGGGATGCTAACACAGCATGAATTCTCACCGTTCCCTGCTCTCCTCCACCCAACCCTCCTCTCTCTTTCCTAAAAACACACACACGCTCTCTCTCTCTCTCTCTCTCTCTCTCTGCGTGTGAGTGCGCGCGCGCCAGGCTTGCTTTTCTGTTCAGACCCTTTCAGCCTCGCCTTCAAATGTCAAAGACCTGACTTGCCAGCTAAACCTGATCAAAGACTTAACTACCCTCCTCAAAGCACTGCCCCAATGACTGCCCACCTATTACACTGGCTGCTCCCTGTAAATGCTGCTTCCATGAGCATCATCTGCTGTTAAAACTTACCAGTGTTTGGATTTATTGTAGTTACACTGACCACCAGGGAACATAAAATAAACAACGAAGGCGCACTTACTGTGTGTGTGTGTGTGTGTGTGTGTGTGTGTGTGTGTGTGCGCGCGCGCGCGCGCGCGCGGGAATGCTACACTTCTATCAGTGTGTGCAGCAGAGGAAGAAAGCCTGAAAATGCAGTTGTTGCAGTAAATCCTGGGTTCAGTGAGGGGGTAGGGTGGAGCAGGATTACAAAGGTATAGCCTACTAAGTCTTATAGAAATGAGCTCTTGAGTTATTTCAATTCCTTATGCTCCCACTGTGGAAGAGACGGGTCAAGGTCATTCACCTGATAACCACACATTCATTTCTATGGAAATGATGATGACAGCAGTGACACGGGTGATGATCAGCATGCAGCACCAAAACCTTTATGGTGTTTTCAGAATGCTAATGCTTTCACTTTAAAAAACACAAAACAAAACAAAACATATTATAAAAGAATAGAGATCATATTAGATCATTTCCACTCTCCACATGGACTAATTTGATGTTTGACAGCTGACAGGTGCACACGCACTGCTCTTGTTTGATGGAAAAAGCATATTTGAGTGAAAGCCAGGGTGGGGCGTGTGGATATGCACGACAAGATGAACTATCAGATTTGCCCAGTGTGCAGGGAAGGCCATCTGACATCACTGACACATCACTCAGTTTAATTGAATTGCCAGGGGTCACAGAGAGCTCCAGTATCTAAAAAGCCAGATCAAGAGAGCAGGGAGAAGTGAATGAATCATTCATGGCTTATAAAACAAATGCTCCGCCAAAATATTAATGCCAGCAGTTATCAGGGGTAGATTTAACCTGTTAATTAGATTTTAATCAATCAGTAAGTAAATGCTAATAACGTACATCGCCCAGCCAAAGAAACATCAGTGCCCTTTTTTGGTGAAATAAAACAAAACAGTTTACATCAGTTCTGACAAAAACAGTGAGCAACAGAGTACATTAAGCTCTAAAAGGAGCTGATGGCACCAAGCCCCCTCCCCACGAAATGAAATTCAACACAGAGGAGCTGCAGCCCAAGAATGCAACCCCTGCTCATTTATTCACTCCTGCACGGCAGTGAGCACTCAGACTCTGCTCACAACTAATGTGGGACATTTTCATTACCGACCCGAGTGCTGTTTACTTATTGTTCATCATGGAGCGCCCTTTAGTGTGCTGATTTTAGGTTTCTTTAAGTTTCTTCATCTTTCAGTTCAGCTAATAAATCGGTTTTATGGTGATAGTAGGTTCCTTTCTGGTGTTTTGAAACTTTATGACATACCTTTGTGCGCTTATTGCACACATCACTCAACATTATAACTAATGCATGAGTAATTCAGCCAAAACGTTATTTTGACTAGCTATTACCAAACCATTAAGTGAGGTTCCAATGGTGTGTATGTTCTACTAAATAAATTGTCCTCCAATGCTTTAACAAGAATAAAAACTACAGCAGTCATCTACTGTCTTGCATTGTTTTAATAAAATGTGTCGCATACAGTTGCTTCAGATTTTTTTCTTCTAAACAGAGATCACAGAAAAAAAAGTTTTATTTCCAGTTTGAAATCAGTAAAAAAAAAAACAAAAGGGCTCCAAAAACACTTCTGTGCTTCTCGGTAGAACTACTGTAATCTTTCACAGGCTGTCATGCTTTTATATAACGTACATGAACACGCAGATATTACACATATGCAAGTTATAAAACCTCTGTCTTTAGGTAGTGCTGTGTCTTTTGCTTCACCTGTGGGCTGTTTGGTACACTCGATGTCTGCCGGTCGTAGTCGCCCATGCACACAGCTACAAAGAACAAAGTCCCTCCGATGACCAGTGCCAGGCCTCCGAACCATCCGGAGAACATCGCCTCCCCATACTCCCATCGTGGCATCACATCAGGAAAACCTTCATCCCAGAAGTCCACCACAGTTGTATAGGCCACAACAGACACAGGAGCCAGAGTAGTGAGCCCAGACACCCAGCACAGCACCCCACTAAACATGAGGAGCCTTCTCTTCACACCAGGCGGCTCTATACACATCTCAACCCCCTCTAGACCCGGGAAAGCAGCCAGTACAGCTGAAGCACCAGTACCAATAGACACTGACATGAGCACCCTGGAGATCTGTAGGTCCATCGGCAGTCCCATGATGGAATCGTAGGCCTTACACTGAATTCCCACTTCCTCGGTGTAGAGGCAGGTGTGCCACAGCCCAGAGAACCAGTTCTCCACTTCATTGAGATCAGAGTTCATTGTTTTCCAATGTGGAAGGAAGGTGGTGATCAGAGATGTCACCAAGCCTCCAACCGTCACAAAGAGCGCGGTCCTTTGCATCATTTTAGCTGTTAGAAAAACCATCTTCTGCCTTTGTGCAGTGAAGTCTGTGCTGTGATTCTGTGTCCAAATCTAAGTAAAGTTAGGTAAGCCATCCAAGTGGCTCTGTAGCTCGTCCCACCTGCTGGACAGACCTGGACGGCCCACTTCTTACTTCTTTAAGAAAATGCACCTGATAAGTAGGAGATAATCTCGTACCACTGCATAACAACGGCCATACTGTTTGGTTTCAGTGTTCAATGTCATCCCAGCGAACAACGAACTCTGTATTTAAATGAAACCAGATATGAGCAGAGGGATTCTGGGCCGTGTGTTTGCACAAGTCAACTTGAATGAAACATGAGCAACCTGTGCATGAGGGGAGCATAAAAAAGAAAGACATAAAAGTTACTGTTTCATATGACTGTGAACTTCAGTACAACTTTAAACGTTTCAGCAAAATTAAGTGAGGTATGGTCTTTCATTTTTTATTATATATTATTTGTTTAAGATATTTATTTTGATTTGAAAAATTTCTCAAGTATCTCTACTATGAATAGCACTTTGTGCTCACTGCAGCAATACAAAAGTCCAAAAGAGTCCAGCACTTTGGGAATTCCTCTGTGGGTTGTTACAGATCCTGCAGTACAACTGACAGCTTGTAGAAAACCAATATAATGCCTCTGCATTTAGGACAAACATTTTGTCTTAGTCCCATGAACAAAATTTACTATAAACGTTCAGAAAATACTTTTCTTTTAGTTTTATTGATCTCATACTGGGATTATTAAGGGTGACCTCAGTACATATATAAGAACCTATAACACATATCAAATTAATAATTAAAATTAAACCACTTAATTTAATTTAGATCACGTGAGTAAACCAAAATCGCTGCAGTGCAAAACCTTGCAGATTCAAAAGGAATTCATCCGCTCAAACCAGGGAGTGTTGTCTGAACTTATCATGCATAGATCTGTGGAAACTGAGACCCCTGACGGACATGCTAATTTAATTAAAGGTCAAGGTCTGACCTTCAGCTTTTTCACACTGTGTTTAAGTTGCACTGGCTTTAGTTTGCAACAGTAGTCTGAATTTTAGATTAGCACCAGTAAGGCCAACAAAAATGTCTTTGAATATTTTACTTTAAACATCAGCTGTTTAAAAGTTAAAAATTAAAAATTATACTGCTGGACTGGATGAGGACTGCTGCCCCACTTTAACCCCAAACACTAAAAACAGCAAAACAACCTGCCGGCTGATCCAGTCTAGTATGGTCCCTGCATAAAGCCAGTGAGGAAGGCCAATGCTGTAGTTTTAGGGAAAGCTGACATAATGGAGTTATCGGCTCTTTGCACAGATGGCTGTAGGATTTAAAAGCAGTTTAAAAGTTAGGTTTGGGCTCAAGAATAAAGTCATCTGTTAGAGTCTCTAACAGATGACTTTATTCTTTTTGTGTAGTGTTATCACGAATCTAGAGCCCAGAAGATTCGTGATAACACAACGTGACAATAGCTTCTAAAGAGAGGTTAAATCAATCAATTCTGTGGTTTCAGAAAAACTTCAGTTTTTTGACACATTCCTTTGTGTTTATTGATTAACTGACAAAATGGTTGCGCACAAACTTCAATCATGTTGGTATACTGGTGAATCAGAGCACAGACACAGAACACATGACTCATTCTGTAAGAGATTTATTAAGGCTTCAAGTGCATGATAACAGAATAATATCACTAAATACTAAGTTCAGTATTGTAGGATACACAGATTTTGTTAATGGTAAGAATTATCACAAAGACATGTACCAGCAACAGTACTTAACACAGAGATATAGTATAATTATTTTCATATGATTTGGATTCTTTACTTTACCACAAAAGACATATGTAAATAATACAAACTTAAATCAATAGAGATTTAGATAAATAACCCATTTGACTTTAATAGATGTGATGTTTTATTGAGATGATACATCTGATGAAACTGAATCCATTTCTATTGTCACAATTATGAAATGTTACAGTAACCTGTATATTTATCAAAAAAAAAAAAAAAAAAGCAAAAGCAACAGTGAGCAGAATAATCTCTTTGCAAAAAAGGTCTGTCTGTACAAAATAAATAAAAGCAGAGTTATACATGAAAAGATAATTTTACACTATTTAACAATTCTAGGTACAATCTGGTTCCTTCACTGATTTCATTCCTCGCTGAGATGCAGAGGGACAAACAACAACAACAACAACAGCAACTCGATACAGTGTGGATAAAAGGCATCAGTTGAATGGGGTATGACACATGCAAGGAATGATTAGGTGGAGCAGGGATGTATGGCTTCTGCAAGAGTAGAAAAGAGCCGTCCTAAATATCGGAGCACATCTCGGCACACTGTTTGTCTGATATGTGTGTGGCTAGCGACTCAATGATGTCCAACAACAGCAGCTGGCTGAGAGACCTCAGGTTGGGGAGCTTGGATACCTTTGGGAGGGGAGGAGAACAAAAAAAATGAAAAAAAGAACAGCAAATTAAGATAAGACAATGAGTCAAAAATGGGGAATAAGCAGCACTTGATTGCTCATGCACAACAAAATGAAGATAAAAGATAAAAAGAAGATAAAAGCTTAACAGAAATACAGCAGAGCTAACACTCCAGTGAAGTAAAGTGAAAACTGAGTGCTTCTTTGTTCCTTTGGATAACAAACAATAATCAGAGCGACACCTCATCGCATTGCGATGAGGTGCTTGTACAGCCGGCCAGCCTGTAAACAGTCTCCTCTTCACGCAGAAGATGGAGGGTGATCCACTAAGAGGCCAAAGGTGTCAGTCTCCCGCAAAGAAGAGGGGACTAGAGGGTTAGCTCAGCTGCAGTGAGTGGGCAGCAAACCCCGAGGGCTTCGGATACAAGCCCACCCACCTTGATGAACTGGTGGACAATAATGTGGAGACAGTGCTTCTTCATGTCCAGAGCCTGGGTCTTATCAGCTGCCTCAAGAATCTGAGGGAGGATAGCGAGAGAGAAGTGAGTGAAGAAATGATTTATTTTGTACAAAAGTGAGAGACTGCATTGTCCAATTAGGTCACTGCTCCCCCTGGGAGAAAGCACAATACCTGCAAGACATTCTCCACAGTGACGTTCATCTCGAGATTCTGCTTGCAGTAAGCCTGCAGTCTGTTGTTAGAAAACCCATAGTAATATGGTGCAGCAAACAGATAGCTGTTAATCCAGGGTCAAGGATGTAAACCAAGTTTACCGCAATGAAACTCACGTTAACCAAAAGTAAGTCCGGGTGCTTCGACAACCCATGTGGCTTAATTTTCAAAAAAGCTTCAGTGTGATTTAGAAACTCACTATATGAAACTGCAAATTTAACAACTCCATAACAGAAACATTTTAGGCCTTATTTTGTTTCTGGCATTGACACATTTATGAATTATTTCATTGTGTCCCTGATCTTATCCACTTATAAACCATTTATAAACATTAACCAACACTAATTCTTATCTTAAACATCGCCATCTTCTAACTTAAAGATAAGAAGTTCACACCTTTTTTTTATGTTAAATATTGAGTTCTTTTGTGACGAGCCAGCAGTTTTACTGTTAGTGATACAAACTGTACTCGATACAAATGTCTCTGTAGGAATATGTTGGTTTTTTTAAGGATCTGAACAGAAGAAAAGTATTGAGGTCTCTTTTTAGACAGAAATTAATTAACAAATTATTATTATTTCACAGGCTATCTTTGCCTTCAATTAAGTTACTCATTTCATTTTTATTTATATTTGCAGAAATGTTAACGTTAAAAAAAAAGAAAAACCCAAAAAACTCTACAATTGAAAAGGATACAGGGAATCCTCTGGAGGCATGTTCACGTCACCATAGTAGATATAACGCAGCATCGACTCAAAGGCCTGCTTACTCGGGACCATCTCACCAATGGATATATTTACTTGACCGTCCACGGGCATGAAGGAGCGGAACATTGCCTCAAAGTAACTGAGGAGTAACAGTATCAAAAGGATAAGTCACATCATTAAGCTGAAATGGACCATGACCAACTGTGATACAACATCAAGCCATTACAGAAAGCAATCAAATCTACTCTAGACTCTAGTAGTAGTAGACCTAGAGGCAACTATCGGCACAGGAGCATAAAATCCACATTAAATCAAATTCAGCTTAAGTAAGGTACCAAAAATACAAAACAAAACAACCCATCCATAAAATCTACGCTGATCTACCTGGACCGAGCTGCTAGTATGGCTTTGTGTGCAGGCCGTGGGTGACCATCTAACAGCAGAATAATGTCACAAAACTCAAAGCCGCTTCCCTCCAGGTAGGCCTTCATGTCCTGCACCAGGGAGGTCCCGATGTCCACAGGCTGGTCAGAGTACACCCTAGGAGGAGGCTGCTGCTTTCGTCGCACAATCTCCACTATCAGGGGAGTGGAGAGATGCTCGAACTCTTTCGTCATGATAACCTGGTTAAAGTGTGACTCCTTAACCACAAAATTAAGGCAATGTTCCTGAAGAAAGACAAAAGATGTTGGTATTAGTGTCATAATAACTAGTACTGTCAAAATTAAAGCGTTAACGCAGATCAAGCCGTCATCACGACTAACACGATAAAAAAAATTTAACGCATCTGGAGCACAGAATGACTCAAAATCCCTGAAATGTTTCTGTCAACGCATTTCGGGGAGTTTGTCCAAATAGAGTTACCTTCGCACATGCGCAAATGGGCAGTAGATCTGGTAGTGACGGGCAGCTGAACCAATCAACTCAATTTGGAAGATATATAAGTTTTAAACAATCAGAAACAACTTTTTTTGAGTTTTAATGAACAAAATGTAAATGGTAAAATGGTAAATGACTGAATGTAGTGTGAAGCGCTTTGGGGTCCTTAGGGACTGAGTAAAGCGCTATATATATTTGTATAGCGCTTTACAAATGCATTTGTATAGCGCTTTATATATTTGTATAGCGCTTTACAAATGCATTTGTATAGCGCTTTACTCAGTCCCTAAGGACCCCAAAGCGCTTCACACTACATTCAGTCATTCACCCATTCACA